ATCTCTTGCCTGTTTTTGTGGGATTACACAAAATGAACCGCCGAATATTATAAATCAGATTCAATCAAACTGATCCAGGCCCAAGCCTAGTCTATAGTGCTCCAAAGTGTGAAATCTTTTCCTCTGCTCATCTGTTACTTTTGCTATTCAAGAGAGAGGGAGATTTCACTTGCCCCTTTCTTCTAAATCAGGTATGATTCCTGGCTCATGCCTAGTAGGGTTGTGCATTCAGGGTAAACCTTGACCTGTTTCATGTCCCGGCTTTCAGTAGGGGTCCTGATCAATTTTTGGTAGCCTCCCAAATAGATATCTGTTTTTGCTCTGGAGTCCCAAAAGATCCTTTTTCTATTGGACCAGTATGGAGGGGGGGGGGGCTTCCTACGCAGGCTCCTTTCCCAGCACGTGCTTTAAGGAGGCTTTTTCTTACCTGCTGTTTCTACTCTATAGGAGGTCCTCAGCTGCAGGCATTGGCCAGCACGAGGTTTCTGAGCCTTCACGCCACACACACTCTCTCTTTCCAAGGCAAGGAGGCAAGTTCTTTTTCTTACTCTAGAGGAGGCACTTGGCTGTAGGCACTAACAGGCATGAACGCTTTCTGGGGCTGCACTCCACACACACACACTCTTTCCAAGGCAAGGAGGCAAGTTGAGGGAGACGCTTGGCTGCTGGCATGATCACTCTATCTCCTGGGCAGGCCCATAGCCAGGATTTCGATTCGGGGGGGGGGTGGTGAGTTTGGTTCGGGGGGGGCGGGGCTGAGTCTGAGTGAAAGAGGGTCTACCCTAGCAAACCTTTTGTATCATTACCCCAATACCCCCATGCATATGGGATATATTGAGTATGGTGATCAGATCATGATATGAATAAACATAACAGTTTAAATAATGCACCAGTAAGGCCTTTTCGCGAACCACCATGAGAAGTTCGGGGGGGGGGGGCTGAAGCCCCCCCCCCCCCCCCCCGGCTACACGCCTGCTCCTGGGCTATACCACACCAGTCAGCCACACACTTTCCAAGGCATTTTAAGTAGGCTTCCCACTTCCAGGTAAGTAAGAGCAATGACCTCCTGGAAGAGGAGAGTTTTCAGGGAATGATGGTTTCCTTTTGGTTTGCTGGGGGATTGATAAAAAAGATTAAACTGTGATGCCAAAAAGCAGGCCAGGAACCAAAACCCTTTCCTGCTTACTTTCGTTTCATGCTGATTTTTGTACTGGGAGGGACCTTCCCATTATGTGCTTCCGAAGTACTAAAAGAAAGAAAGGAAACAGTAGATACGAATTCCACAGACAAGTCTAATGTCTGAATGATGATTATGTGTGCATCCTTACATTCTTTCATTCTCTTCTGATTTTTCTGGTGTTCATTGCAAACCAGAGCATCAAAACAGGGACTGCAGATTTGCACCTAGATGCATAGGTAAGATAATAGGCACGACTGGTGGGGATGAGGGACAGGGCCTTCTCAATAGTGGCCCTTTGGCTATGGAACTCCCTTGTCAGTGAAATTAGATTAGCTCCCTCCTTCCTGACCTTTAGAAAGAAACTAAAAACATGGATGTAGGACCAAGCCTTTGGCCAGTAATTCTCAGTGCAATAAGTGAAAACGGAATAGTGCAATTTATGAGTGGAATGGCTCCTGGACTATGCTTTAGGATTGCTTGGTTTAAATAATTGGCTTTTAAGATTGGGATGTTTTTAACTTTTTGGTTTTAATGTATATGTTTTGTTTTATGTATGTATATGCAGCATCAAATTGTGCTTTTTTGATACCTTTGGGGTGAGAAGGGTGGGGTATAAATACAGTAAATAAATAAATACATGGTGTCAATGGAAATCCACTTATAAGGCAGGTAAGACAAGGTCAAGTTCAGCATCTGACAGGATCACTGGGTTGCTGTGAGTTTTCCAGGCTGTATTGCCATGTTCCAGAAGCATTCTCTCCTGATATTTTGCCCACATTAATGGCAGGCTTCCTCAGAGGTTGTGAGGTTTGTTGGAAACAAGGCAAGTGGGGTTTATATATCTGTGAAATGTCCAGGGTGGGAGAAAGAACTCTTTTCTGCTTGAGGTAAGTGTGAATGCTGCAACTGATCCCCTTGATTAGCATTGAAAAGACTTGCAGCTTCAAGGCTTGACTGCATCCTGCCTGGGGGAATCCTTTGTTGGGAAGTGATTAGCTGGTCCTGATTGTTTCTTACTCAAACACAAATCAAGGAACATGAAAGGCACTGCAGATTAATTCAACCAGAGAAGTCAGCCATGGCAGAGCACCTGATGAACCAACCTGGACACAGCATATTATTTGAGAACATAGAAATGCTGGACCACTCTAACAACCACCATGGAACTCTAAAATCAGGACAGTAAATAAAGAACAACACTCAAAAAGCAGGGGAATTCCAAACAAGAATTGATCGGGGCCAGCAAATACATCTCAACAAAGAATCCCACAGGCAGCAACCAGCCAGGCTCTGAAGCTGCAAATGCTAATCAAGGAGGCAACATTCACACTTGCCTCAAGCAGACAAGAGTTCTTTCTCCCACCCTGTACATTCTGCAGATATATAAACCCCAATTGCCTATTTTCCAACTGACCTTACAGCTTCCGAGGATGCCTGCCATAGATGCGGGCAAAATGTCATGAGAGAATGCTTCTGGAGCATGGCCATACAGCCCGCAAACTCACAGCAACCCAACCTGGGTAGAACAAGAAGGGAATGAGAGAGAGCGGGTGCCTGGCAGAGAAAGTAGAAAGTTCCACTGATCAGACAATGACGTGTGCAATGCATTTGCTTGTTGAAAAACACAGTGTGTGTGTCTCTTTCTAATTTTAAACTGGTGCCATTGAGATGTCAGTGGTGCTTATAGACCAGGCATGTGCAAATTTGGGGCTTCCAAGTGTTTAGGACTTCAACTCCCACCATTCCCAACAGCCCCAGCCCTCTTCCTTTTCCCCCTCAGTGCTCCTGAAGGAGTGATGCGGCATCTCCATAATGCTTGGAGCTTCCGGACCCAGCTATCATACTATTACCAGTGGGAGATGAAGTCCAAAACACCTGGGGGCCCAAGTTGACCCATGCATGAGCTATCTTGTTTCTGCATATTGTTTCTGATTTGCCAGCCTCAACATTCTTAAGCGGCTGAGGGGGGAAATGAAAGGGCCTGTGGCTGTTAGAATTGGTGGGAGTTGAAGTCAAAAACACCTGGAGGGCCCAAGTTGGCCCTTGCATGAGTTATCTCAACCTACTAATTTGCATATGTTTTCTGATTGGCCAGCCTCAACCTTCTAACATTCTTAAGCAGCCGAGCGGGGAAAAGGAAGGGGCCTGAGGCTGTTAGGAATGGTGGGAGAGTGGTAGTATGATAGTTGGGTCCAGAAGCTCCGAGCGTTACAGAGATGCTGCAAAGATGGCTGTGAATAAGGGAAGAGAGGTGGCGAAGTGCGAATGGGGAGAGTGAAGGAAGGATAGAAAGGAGGGGATGCTTAGGGTAAGGGTTAAGGCAAGGTTTAGGGTTTGGGTTAGGGGTTACGGTTAAGGTATGGTTTAGGGTTAGGGTAAGGGTTAGGGTAATATTTAGGGTTTGGGTTAACATAAGGGTTTGGGTAAGGGGTTAGGCTTAAGCTTAAGGTACAGTTCAGGGTTAGGATAAGGGTTAGGGTTTCATCATTAAAAAACTCTTACATTCCTTCTATATTATCTGTCTCCGGCCTGGCTTACATTAGCTAAGTTTCTCTTGCACAAACAGTGCTCCCGAAGAAGTGATGTGGCATCTCCGTAACGCTTGGAGCTTATGGACCCAGCTATCATACTATTACCGGTGGGAGTTGAAGTCCAAAACATCTGGAGAGCCTAAGTTGGCCCATGCATGAGCTATCTCCACCTACTAATTTGCATATAGAATCATAGAATCACAGAGTTGGAAGAGACCTCATAGGCCATCCAGTCCAACCCTCTGCCAAGAAGCAGGGAAATCGCATTCAAAGCACCCCCGAAAGATGGCCATCCAGCCTCTGTTTAAAACCCTCCAAAGAAGGAGCCTCCACCATACTCTGGGGCAGAGAGTTCCACCGCTGAACAGCTCTCACAGTCAGGAAGTTCTTCCTAATGTTTAGATGGAATCTCCTTTCTTGTAGTTTGAAGCCATTGTTCTGCATCCTAGTCTCCAGGGCTGGAGAAAACAAGCTTGCTCCCTCCTCCCTATGACTTCCCCTTACATATTTATATGGCTATCATGTCTCCTCTCAGCCTTCTCTTCTTCAGGCTAAACATGACCAGCTCTTTAAGCTGTTCCTCATAGGACTTGTTCTACACTTGATCATTTTAGTCTCCCTCCTCTGGACACATTCCAGCTTGTCAATATCTCTCTTCAATTGTGGTGCCTAGAATTGGACACAGTATTCCAGATGTGGTCTAACCAAGGCAGAATAGAGCATGGGTAGCATGACTTCCCTGGATCTAGACACTATACTCTTATTGATGCAGGCCAAAATTCCATTGGCGTTTGCATCACATTGTTGGCTCATGTTTAAATTGTTGTCCACGAGGACCCCAAGGTTTCTGATTGGCCACCCGCAACCTTCTAACATTTTTAAGCGGCTGAGATAGGAAAGGAAAGGACTTGAGACTGTTAGGAATGGTGGGAGTTGAAGCCCAAAACACCTGGACGGCACAAGTTGGCACAAGTTGGCCCATGTCTGCTATACAGACAGACAGGCAGCCAAACGGGTTCCCATCCCCCCCCCTTTATTTTCCCCTGCATGAAACTTCGAGTATGATATGCAACCCGCTTTCCTCAAACCTAGAGGAACCAACGCTTTTACAGATGTGGTTGTAAACCTGTCCTGAGACGCGCTGGGGAGGTAAACGCGCCCCAAAGAGAGGGAGGCCGGCGGATCCTGATGGGAGATGGAGAGAAGGAGAAAGTTGGCGAGATGGAGGAGGAGGAGGAGGAGGAGGAGGGGAGAGAAGGAGGGAGGGAGGGAAAAAGGAGGGAAGGAAGGAAGGAAGGAAAGGGACGCCGCGTCGGCGCTCTAACACCCAAACGACGAGAAAATCCCAGCGAGGAGGAGGAGAAGCGATTGGCGAAAGGGAAACCGAGTTGGGGAGGGCGGGAGAGAAACGAGGAGGGAGAAAGAGGCGGGTTATGACTACTCTCCCTCCCTCTCTCTCCCTTTCTCTCTCTTTTGGACTTCTCCAAAAGCAGCGCCCAGAAACCGCCAAGCAGGGCTGGCTGGCGCGCGCATCCTCTCTCATCTCTCTCTCTCTCCTTTTTCTCTTTTTCTCCATTCTCTCTCTCTTTCGCGTTGCTCCAGCTCCTCCCTCGTGTGGTTGTGGCTTTTCTTCATTCCCTTTTCCCATCAAAAAGCCCGATCTTTTGGAGGGAAAAAACGGGGGGAAAGAAATCCGAAAGGAAGCGAAGAAAGCTCTCGGGAGGGGAAAAAAAAAAAACTTCTTTGGAGTTATCGCTGCCTCGTGCCTCTCTCCATTGGGTCCACAAGAGAAAAATCTATCTCCGCTGTTCTCCCGCAGCCTTGCTCTGTCTTTCTTCTCTTTTTTGACACATACACAAGTCTTTCAACGGCGTCGAGGGCGATGGGAAAAGTTGCGGGCTGGACGTGGCTGGTGCTGATGCTCCCGTTTGGCTTCATCGGGGCGGAGATCACTTGCCAGGCTTGCCAAGGGCAAGGGCAACACCGGCTCCAGCCAGGATTATTGCTGCGCTTGAGGGCGAGGAACCCAGAGGAGGTCAAGGAGGGCGCCTCGGGTCGGCTCTTCTTGGCCGCTTTGGGGGAGAAGCCTCTCTCCTTGGAAGGCGGGCAGCCGGACCCTCTTTCTCCTCTCCCCCGCGGACCCGGGACCTCCGCTTCCGCCTCCCTCTCGTCTCCGCTCGGCCTCCCGCTCCCGAATCAGGCGGCGCGGAGGCGGAGGCGGCAAAGCCGGAAAGCCCGAGACGCCCAGCCGCCGGAGAGCCGCCCGGAGCCCGCCACCCGTTTCCGACCCGAGGAGCTCAAGCTGACCAGCACCACCTTCGCCCTCACCGGAGACTCGGCCCACAACCAAGCCATGGTCCACTGGTCCGGACACAACAGCAGCGTGAGTAGTTGCCCTCCGCGCCCCCGGCCCGCCCCTCGCTCCTGCTGCATCTACACCCTGGAATGAATGCGCTTCGACACCACTTTCGGACTAGGGAATCGCGGGAGTTGTCACAAGGTCTTCTCCGCCAAAGAGGAGGGCTCCTTCGACTACAAATCCCAGGATGCCCCAGTATTGAAAGTCGTGTCCAAGCTGCATTCATTCCACAGTGTCGAGGCACTCTCCTCCTTCCAGTCCCTGCTGCTGTTGCTGCTTCATCCCAAAGACCCAGGCAGCAAAGGATGCGCTTGGAATTCCCCCCTTTGCTGCCCCCTTCTCTCTGTTCCAGTGGTTCCTAACCTTTTTTTGGACAGGGACTACTCTGACCAGGGCTACTTGACTAGGAACCACTTTGACCGGATACCACTTGAGCAGGGATCACTTTGATCAGGGACTACTTGGACCAGGGACCACTTTGAGCAGGGATCACTTTGACCAGGGACCACTTTGGGCAGGGACCACTTTGATTAGGGTACACTTTGACCAGGGACCACTTTAACCAGGGACCACTTTGACCAGATACCATTTGACCAGGGACCACTTTGACCAGGGACCACTTGACCAGTGACCACTTCATCAAGGAGCACTTTGACCAGGGAACACCTGATTAGGGACTACTTTGACCAGGGACCAGTTTGACCAGGGCCACTTGACCAGGGACCAGTTTGACCAGATACCACTTTGACCAGGGACCACTTTGACCAGATACCACTTTGACCAGATACCACTTTGACCAGGGACCACTTTGACCAGATACCACTTTGACCAGGGACCCTCTCCCACATTAGTACCCAAAGGGTTACGAATTACTTTTTGGTCAACTTTAGATTTGGTTTGGTTATTTGGGGTGCTGATTCAGAAAAGGACAGTGGATAGACCATATAAGTTCTAGTTTCTGATGCAGAATATATGCCATCCAGTAGTTGCCATCTATCTGCTCACCCACAGAAAACCATATTTAATAAGCCTCAGCACTATAAGAGGGTTTCAAGAGACCAGTTGCTCTTGTTCCAAAGGTGTAGTAACGGTGAGGCCGCGGACCATATTTTACTTCTTACGGATCACTGGTTGTCCACAGACCGCAGGTTGGGAGCCACTGTTCTATTCAGAGTTTTGTCCACTCTTTGGTTGTAGTATCAATGCAGTTCGACACTGCTTTAACTGTCATGGCTCAATGCTAAGCTATCCTAGGTTCTGTAGTTTGGCAGAGGTACCTAAACACCTTGTAAAACCACAACTCATGATTCACTAGCATTGAGCCATGGCAGTTTTAAAAGTCATGTGAAACAGCATTCATTCTACGGTGCGCCCACAGTTCATTGACACCATGGGGATTGGTAGATGCCATGTCAATGTCGTTCTGGCTGCTTGAACATTTACTATTAAAAATATGCCAGTCATAAACATTGTATTGATGTGATATTTTAAGAAAATTAAGACAAATACAGACACACTTGACATTAATGTAACATTTTCGCTAAAATTGTTTTTATTTTACTGGGTTGCTGAGTTTTCTGGGCTGTATGGCCATGTTTCAGAAGCATTTTCTCCTGACGTTTCACCCACATCTATGGCAGGCATCCTCAGAGGTTGTGAGGTCTGTTGGAAACAAGGCAAGTGAGGTTTATATGTCTGTAGAATGTCCAGGGTGGGAGAAAGAACTCTTGTTTGCTTGAGGCAAGTGTGAATGTTGCAATTGTTATGTCTTTATTGAAAGTATTATTTCTGCTGGTTTGCCGATTGCTTGAGAGTTCCAGTTCCTTGAATTCCAGTTAACAGAGAGTCTACTGTACATCTATTTTAAATCAACTATTTTCTGTGTCTTGTGTTGACATCCTCTCTGGAGCAGAAAGTTTCCTGCTCCACTTGGCATGCTACTAGGCGCATTTGAAGACATCCATGCCCTGGATTTTTTTAAAAGAATGAACCCTAATCTCTGTGTGCAATGAATGGAAAAGGGTTTTCTGAGCTGACTGGAAGAAAAAAGGTGTTCACTTCTGTGGAAGGGTGTGTGTGTGTTGTTTGAAAGCTGAAAAGGGTCAGCTATTTCAGCCCTGAGATGCTCCTTGTTGTGACAAGTGGCACGAGTGTGGCAAAGTGATAAAGATGAATGGTGGCAGCAGGAAAGCATGGACAGGAGTGCTATAAACTCTGTGTGAGGCAACTGGGGAGCCCTGTCTTCATCTGTTGCATGTCTATTTTCTACTTCTTCTGATAGCATGCATCCTGGTTTTGCCCTTTCTTTCCACCCACAAACAAGTTGTTTCCCCCCACATTTCCCTCTTTTATTGAATAAATGGCACATTGTTTTGGAAAATTTATAAAGCTGTGCTTCCCCAACTGGGATGCCGGAATAGAAAAGTGTATCTCAGTTTGTATTCTGTCAGTAGTCTATGGTCCCCTAGCTTTAATTTAATAGTTCATGTCGCAGGCAATGAAGATTCGGTTTTGATCAAAGGGACGCCACTTGTACAATCTCCCTCAAGCTTGTCCCTAACTCTTTTCACTTTTCCCCAAGCACATTAAAAAGCTCAGGTTTGCAACCGAAGATTGGTTCACAATGTACCATTTGTTCCCTTGAGGCAGTTCAAGTGTCCGTTTATATAAAAATGAAGCTAAACTTGCGGGAAGAGGATGCCCGTTCACCTGTTGTTCTTGGGTTTATCCCTGTGGTGTTAAAATGAGTCAGTTTCTCTCATCTGTATCTCCAGTAAACCGGCTCCTTTTCATCCTGAATGTCTTTTATTTTTTCAAAGGTAATTCTGCTTTCACGATGTCTCTTATGACACTCTGCTGCAGATTTCATTCTGATAAACGGAGCCACTTTCTTTCACAGCAGTGTTGGTATAAACTGGACTTCAGTTTTTAGAGAATCAGGACAATACAGACTGAGACTCTGAATAATGCAGATCCCTGGGAGCTGCTTCTTAGTGAACAGGGAAAGTGAGCCAAAGGAATATAAGAGGGAACAACAACAACAAAAAGGATTTTTTTTTAATGAAGCAGTCAGTTCTTCACAATACCGCATTTAAAGTATCATTCTCCCTCATGTCCATGGTGCTGCTACTTTTAGCTATGCCTCTAGTGGGTTTTTAATTGGCAGGGGGAAAATGAATGGAATGATCTGACCATTATCCCTTCCTTTTTAAAAATATGTGAATATAAATCTCATTGCACACATTCTGTGTTCATGTCAGCATTTCTCCAGGAGCCAGACTTCATTGACTAGATTGTAATTTATAGACTTTTCAGGAACTTTTAAATCAACTCAAGTAAGCAATCAAAACAACAACAACATGCTCTTGCAAGTCTTTGGGTCATTTTATCTGTTTTCTTTTTTGCTCTTGCAAGTCTTTGGGTCATTTTATCTGTTTTCTTTTTTGCCTTCTCTGATATAGTTAAAATTATAGAATCATAGAGTTGGAAGAGGCCTTGTGGGCCATCCAGTCTAACCCCCACCAAGAAGCAGGAAAATCACACTCAAAGCACACCTGACAGATGGCTGTCCAGCCTCTGTTTAAAAGCCTCCAAAGAAGGAGCCTCCACCACACTCCAGAGCAAAGAGTTCCACTGCTGAACAGCTCTCACAGTGTCTTTAAAAATGAATCGTTCACTTTGAATTGTTGATGTTTAAAACTGATTGAAAAGTTTGTCACTGCTTCAGCCTGACTTACAACTTCACAACATATTTAAAAGCCTCCACTGGGTAGTCTCGGGTTATGAAGCAGAGGAGTTAAGATCACAATTTTTCAATTAAACCAATAAAAATCATCACTCTACTGTGAATTACAAAATGCTACAGTCCTTATTTGCCTTTATTTCAGTGTTTGTTTTGAAGTGATTATCAAAAGGTTCTTCAGGTATTAATTCATGTCCTTTTCAGCTTGCTTGTATCTGAACATTTTGCCACACAATTGATATAAAACATTTCTGATGTGTTTCCACAATATAGAAGATACTCATGTTGAATGGATGCAGCTTTTTTGCTTTAAATGTGTAAAATCTCATTATCATCATCATCATCATCACAATAGGATGAGTCCACAGCAGACAAGATCACTCTGCTGGCTGTTGTATTGGATCACACGTTGGACACTTCTCAAGTGTCTAGGACTGTGTGAAGTATCGGCAAATAATGCATGCATATCCCAGTAAGGTGGCATTCTGCAGCTGGCAAATTGTAATTTTGTCAGTGCCTATTGTGTTTAAGTGCAGGCCAAGGTCTTTAGGCACTGCTCCCAATGTCTTTAGGCACTGCACCACTGAGACCACCTTGACTGACTTGAGCCAGAGTCTTTGCAGTTCAATCTTTAAATCCTCACATCGTGTCAGCTTTTCCAGTTGTTTCTCTTCATCTGGGATTGCAACATCGACGATCCATACTTTGTTTTTTAACACGATCGTGAGGTCAAGAATACTGTGCTCCAAAACACTGTCTGTCTGAGTTCAGAAGTCCCAGAGTAGTTTGACGTGTTCATTTTTTGTAACCCTTTCAGGCTTATGATCCCACCAGTTCTTTGTTGCAGGGAGATGATATTTGTGGCACAAGTTCCAATGAATCATCTGAGCAACGGTGTTGTGCCTCTGCTTGTAGTCTGTCTGCGCAATCTTCTTGAGGCAGCGGAGGATGCGATCTATTGTTTCATCTGCTTCTTTGCAGAGTATACATTTGGGATCTGTTTCCAACTTTTCAATTCTGGCTTTGATGGCATTTTGTTCTAATGGCTTGTTCTTGGTCTGCCAGAATCAGGCCCCCCGTCTCCTTTTTCAGAGTTCCATTTGTGAGCCACATCCATGTTTTTTCTTTGTCAATTTGGCTCTCAATTTTTCCCAGGAACTGTCCATGGAGTGCCTTCTTTTGCCAGTTTTCTCTTCTGCTCAGGATTGTGTTTTTACGGTATTCCCTCTTGTCTTTTGCACTTTAAGCAGTTTACTACTATTGACTTCCCTCAATGTTGGTT